TTGTGGGCACCCCCCCCCCCCCCGTGCTGTCTGTCTCTCTGTCTCTATCTCTCTAGCAAGCGCATGCACCCTATAGAAAAAAAACTCTCTAAAAAATGCTTTAAAATGTGTTCAATAGTGTCTGTTACGGATTAAGCACAGAGGAAGTCTTCAGATCTGAGAGCAGCTATGAGCTGCATGATTTTACATGACTCTATCTTTCCCTGCTTGATTTTTTTCATCCATGTGATGGGAAGGAGAACATGCATGAGATAATAAAAAATCATCACATTGCATCGATCTATGGAGTTTTATAAAATGTTAAGTTAGGAAGATAGTGGATAAAGAGCAAATATTGTTTGCTCTTTAATAAAACACTAAGGTACAGGTTGGTGGTCCAGCAGGCACTGTGCACAGGAAGCCAGCTCCCACGTGGTTGAACCTTGCTGGACTCTTGGCCACGATCCTTATGGAATGGAGAATTGGAGGAAAGGGGATTAGGGCATGGCCAGGTCCATGTGGGCGGAGGGTGCTTTTTCATTTTCCTCCCTCTGGTGGTGATGAGCACATGCACCCTCTAGCAATTTTTTTGTTTGTTTGTTTAAGATTTTTGCCATATGGCGTGTGTGCTCGCTGGAGAGACAGAGAAATAGAGAAGGTGAGAAATCATCTCACAAGTGCTGGGGAGAAGGCCACCTGGCAATCCCTTCTCTTCTGTTCTTCTGCGATTTGGTGCATGCACACGGACTCTCCCAACATGAGTTTCCGGCTGCTGGATCCAGGACTTGAATCATGGTCAACTACATGGGAGTCCAGTGCCTTAACCACTACACCTCCAGCTGACCCCCTCTTGCAAAGTTTTTTAGAAGAAGAAAAAAATGTCATATGTAGAGATTGACATGCACATGAAGAGAACATCATGTAGAAATTAAGAGTTATGCTGGCACAAGCCAGGGACTTCCAGAAGCTAGGAGAGGCCTGAGTTTTAAGTCACCGGGTCCGGGATGTGAACTGTAGTCGACTACGTGGGAGTCCAGCTACATAGCCATTAGGCCAACTGCTGGTCCCTTGTCTAGTTCTTAATTATAAGCAAGGGTAACCAGCAAAAGGCAAACATTGAAAATAAAAATTCACTTGAAACTATACTCTTTAAAGATCTTTGCATAATGACAAATTTATGCCAGCTATAGGAATATGGAAAAGAGTTTCTCTGACCCAAAATATATACTCCCAAGTAATAAAAGTGGAAAATATAATAGGTAAGCCAATATCCATACTAAGAAAAAAATACTAAAATGTTTCAATAACCCCTTACATAGAGAACAATTTAAGAAGTGAAATAAAAATTAAACCTACTTGTATGTTAAAAGTATACTTGAAGCAGATGGTGTGGTTGTTAAGGCACTGGACTCCCACATGGCCAACTGCAATTCAAGTCTTGGATCTGGTGGCTTGCTTTCTCACTTTCCTTTTCTCTCTCCCTTTCTCTTTCTGTTTCTCTGGTGAATTAAAATAATAGTAACTAAAACTAAATAAATAATTTTAAATACTTCAAATCACCCATAAGTCCAAGAAATTATAAAGTTCTGTTTACTGAATTGTAAGAAAAAAAAACACTACCTGTCAAACTGTAGCTAAAAGTACTTAATTGAATTATTTTTTACCTGAATCCTTATATGTAAATGAACCATGAATATAATCCTTATGTGTCGACTTTAAGGATGAGGAATTCATAAAGACAATACCACATTTACAGCTTTTGTAAATTTGCTTTCCTGGTGTGAGTTTTCCGAAGCATTGTACATAAAGTCATTTGCAGGGGGACATTCCACTTTACACCTGAAATCTTTTTCTGTAATGTGTATTCTCATGTGTCTTCTTGAGGAGGAGGAGCAGCTGAAGGCTTTCCCACATTGTTGACACTGATAAGGTTTCTCTCCAGTGTGCAGTCGCATGTGGATCGGTAGAGATGACGGCCATTTGAAGACTTTCCCACATTCCTTACATGCGTAGGGCTTCTCGACAGTGTGTGTCCTGACGTGCTGCTGCAGAAGTTCAGGCCAGCTGAAGGCTTTCCCGCACTGCTTGCACGTGTAGAGTTTCTCTGCAGTGTGCCTCCGCATGTGTTTCTGTAAGGGAACGTGGCAGTAGAACGTTTTCCCGCACTGCTTGCACGTGTAGAGTTGCTCTGCAGTGTGCCTCCGCATGTGTTTCTGTAAGGGAACGTGGCAG